TTCAATTAAACTGTGAAAATTGTAATGCATCATACATTGGGACAAACAAAAAGGACATTTATGCACTAGAGTGAAGGAACATGCCAGCAATATTAAATTACATGAGTCTAATCATTCGGTTTGAGCAAACACAGATGTGATTTGGGCATAACTTTGATTGGAAATCACCGACAATTACATAACGAGAAACATGTAAGAAAGAGAGAGATTGCTGAAATGTTCTTCATAAAGAAGCATGGCAATACAGTTAACCTACAGAAAGACACCGAGAATTTGACAAACATTTACGACAAAATAATAAAGATTGTTTAGTGGCGCGTTTCAAGTTTAGTCGTTGACGAAACATCATAACGATGGGACGTGTTCCTCTTTTAATTTTAACTTTTAACATCATAACGATGGGACGTGTTCCTCTTTTAACGTTTAACTTTCGATTTCAAATAACACCGGTGTGATGTTATGTTAACCTCGGTTTAATTGATGGTATGTTTATAAAATTTATACTTATTTTATTAATTTAACACTTAAATGAGTTTTCGTATGTTAAAAAATATTGTGTAACATTATGTTGTAGAAATTTCACTTGAAAAGGACCACAACCAAATGGTCGAAACGTCGTGAAATAATCAAATAAAATTGCTAGTTACGTCGTAGTCAAGTCGTTTAAGCTTATTTTCACCACTAGCGACAAATATTAATTTTGATTGATATTAATTTTAATTGATCGTATTTTTGCTCTTGGACTGAAATATGGAGCACGTACGGAAGGATTGTTTTTTCCAACACATCTCTGAAATATAATAACGAGACCGCCTATTTGTTTAAGTCATGGATTAAATGCAAGAAGAATTTTTATGCTTGTAACCACCAACTAAAATTTTTACTCCGATGTCGAAGATATGACATTGTGCCGTCACACATCAAGAACCTAAAGACTGAAATTAGTTTTTACAGTGCCTATGCGAAACGAAGGGTTTAAAACTATAGTTAAGAATAATCAAGTTAGATTGTTGAATTTGGAGATTAAAGATTTGAACACAAACCTAAATTTCATTCGGTGTAAGATCTCTAATATAGTGAAAAAATTGTTTGATTCTTTACCTAATAACGTGGTAAATTCGTTTTCGGTTAAGTAACACAAAGACTAAATAACTTTAATTATAGAATAAAAAGTAGGATGATAAAAAGTTTGATAGGATAAAACAGAAATATATGGTATTGTCAAATCCGTTGGAAAACATCGACAATTCCAACTGGTTAATAAATATCAGCTCTAAAGTGTTACCTGATACTGTATCTAAACTCTTAAGTTTAGGCGATACGTTTGCCTTACCGATTCATTGCTCAAATAAGAACGATCGACTAAATTATATGTTGTGTGAGGTGATAAAGAATTTTGAATCGAATTGTGTTATGTTCCTGAGGATGCTTTGGAAACAACTAGAATATCCATTGCCAATTCACTACAAAAATTTCTGTCTAAAAGTAAACATATCAATTATAGTGACAGATTTATTCATGATGCGTTTAATTTTCTAATAAATATCTGCAGAACAATAAAGATTTAATTGTTACCAAAGCTGACAAAGGACAAGTGACAGTGGTTATGAATAGAAATGATTATGTGACTAATATGGAATTATTGTTAAGTGATTCGATGACATACAAAAATTAAATAAAAATCCGATTACACGTCTGACGAACAAACTTCATACGTTAGTAAAGTCATGGCATAATAATGAGATCATTGATGATCAAACATATAATTTCTGAATTGCACAAATGGTAATTTACCACGGTGTTATGGACTCCCGAGATCCATAAGAGCGGGTATCCATTGAGGATCATTGTGTCATCGTTAGGCAGTCCCTTTTATAATATTGCCAGTTACATTCATGAGATATTAGTTAAGTCTGTAAGAAACCGGATTCTAATGTTAAGGATGTTTGGACTTTTGTGAATACTATTAAAATACAATGGTTAATGACGATGACGTAATGATTTCCTTAGATGTTTGTTCGTTGTTTACAAATATTCCAAAAGATTTAGTTTTTTCTGCAATTGAGAGGGACGTCGTGACATAAGTCTAAAAAAATAAATTTAATTTGCAACAGTTCCTATACGCTGTTGATGTAATACTTACTTCAACGAGTTTTCAATTTAACGAGCAGTATTATGAACAAATTTATGGAAGCCCTATGGGATCCCCTCTATCACCGATACTAGCTGACTTAGTAATGGATGACTTGGAAACAAATTGTTTAAATTCTTTAAGTTTTAAAGTTCAGACTTTTTATAGATATGTGGACGACATTTTTGTTATTTTACCTAACTCTAAAATAAATGAAAATTTTAAGTACATTTAATAATTATCATGAACGTTTAAAATTCACACATGAAATAGAGACCAATTTTCTATTAATTTTTTAAATTCTACAGTTATCCGCAATGGGAATAAATTGACAACTAATTGGTTTAGGAAACCTACATGTTCTGGCAGATACATCAATTTTCTTTCGAGTCATCCTATTAAGTACAAAATTAATACGATTTACAATTTAGTAGACCATGCAATTTTACTTTCTAACGAACAATTTCATAATACGAATATTGAGATTGTAAAGAACATTTTAATTAATAATTGTTTTCCGGATCATATTATTAATAAGTATGTAAATAAAAGAATTAATGTACTGAAGAACAACAGGAATGGTAACGGTCACAATGCGGATAATAACGACAGTTTGAGTAACGATTTAGATAATAACGTTAATGTGAATTCGGCTCAAGATAAGAATTATGTAATTCCACTCCCATACGTTAAAGACGTTAGCGACAGTATTAAAAGGTCACTTAATAGTGCTAACATAAATGTCGTTTATAGTTTGCCAAAAAAGTTGAATAGGCTGATAAAACGAGGGTAAAGATTTAATAACTAATATATGATATTAAAACGAATGTAGTTTACAAGATTAACTGTGAAAATTGTAATGCATCATACATTGGACAAACAAAAAGACATTTATGCACTAGAGTGAAGGAACATGCCAGCAATATTAAATTACATGAGTCTAATCATTCGGTTTTGAGCAAACACAGATGTGATTTTGGGCATAACTTTGATTGGAAATCACCGACAATTTTACATAACGAGAAACATGTAAGAAAGAGAGAGATTGCTGAAATGTTCTTCATAAAGAAGCATGGCAATACAGTTAACCTACAGAAAGACACCGAGAATTTGACAAACATTTACGACAAAATAATAAAGATTGTTTAGTGGCGCGTTTCAAGTTTAGTCGTTGACGAAACATCATAACGATGGGACGTGTTCCTCTTTTAATTTTTAACTTTAACATCATAACGATGGGACGTGTTCCTCTTTTAACGTTTAACTTCGATTTCAAATAACACCGGTGTGATGTTATGTTAACCTCGGTTTAATTAATTGATGGTATGTTTATAAAATTTATACTTATTTTATTAATTTAACACTTAAATGAGTTTTCGTATGTTAAAAAATATTGTGTAACATTATGTTGTAGAAATTTCACTTGAAAAGGACCACAACCAAATGGTCGACGAACGTCGTGAAATAATCAAATCAAAATTGCTAGTTAGTCGTAGTCAGTCGTTTAAAGCTTATTTTCAACCACTAGCTAGCGACAAATATGTAATTTTGATTGATATTAATTTTAATTGATCGTATTTTTTCAATTTTTCTGAATAAAATTTTGTTGAGTTTTAAAAATCATTATTTAAGAATATGATTCGCAAATAAGAATACTTACGGAACATCATTTTACTCAGCCGTGTGTCATATAATGTCTTGTGTGATGCAGGTTCATTTTCCGCATTTTCCGGTTCTTCATCATTACTTTCCTTATTATTTTTTTTAGCCCACTTAAATTGGCATGCAAGTTCATCTGAGATAGAATATCTAAGGTACTGTCTCAAAGCAACTTTTGCATTAGGATTTCCCCACCAATAAAATAATTTCTCTGTAAAATATTTTAAAGAGTCAGTGGTGTTATATTATGCAAGTTTTATTAAAGTAGGAATTTATTAATTATCCATAAAAGATATTAAAAATATGACAAAACTTTTCGAATCTGAAAATTTTAATTTTGTGATAAATAATTGTGTAATAGTTAAAGAATTTTAAAATATTGTATTTTGTATTATCGAAAATAGCAAAACCATTTTAATATTCCGAAAAGCAAAATGCAAATTTAAAAGTATATTTATATTTAATATTTTTATATAATCAAAATATGTATAAGTAAAACATGTTGTTCCACTTACTAGTTCTCCCTGCTTTTTCCTTATTTTCCTCGAACTCTTCAAATTCTTGCATATTTTTTAATGGAAAACCTTCTGGAAGCGAATATACTGGGTAAGCTCCATCGTTATTATTTGCGTTTTTGTTTCTAAAAATAATTTAGCTCGGTTTATACTCAAAATTAATATTTAAGGGGATATGAATAAATCTTGATGGATTCTACTTTACATAAACCTAAAAATCGTTTCTATTATCCATTCAAATTATCTTCTTTTTATTGTACAATTTCTTTTATCTTTTAAGATAAATTTTGATAAAAATTTATAGATTTTTAGAATAGAAAATTACGTTCATGCATACTTACACTTGTAAATTATCTAATTTTGTATTGAAGTAGGTTTTCAGTTCATCTATTTTTTTATCAAAATAGTTTTGCATATTGTTAATTTTGTTCGAAATATTTTGTTCCTGAGTTTCGCAAAACGTATGCATTTTCTCCTGAAATTTTTGGAAGAATATTTCTTGCGATGCGCTCAAGTCTTGCAATGTCTTTAAGTTATTTAAATTGACATTTTCAGGATTTTCATAACTTATATGACCATAATTATGATTGTGAGAATTGTAGAATTGCGGAATATGTCCATGTGTAAAATTATCCGGTGCGGGTTCTGTAAAATTTGCTATTATGTAGTGTTTTATTTAATTTTATTAATTTTAATACATTGCACGTGTGAAAATATTTTACCTGAGGTATGTAATCCTTGTGTATATGTGGATGAAGCAGTATCATTAGTGTTCCAACTGTCATAATAGCTATAATTTGAAGTAACAGCTGGAGTAGATTTATTCCACATTTTAATTTGTGGGAATTGTTTTGAACAGTACCTAGGTAAATTAATGTATAACATAATAATTTTTTTTTACATAATTGACGAATCTGAAGTTGCATTATTTTAACATATAGTGTCTAAAAATATTTTTTTGGAATACAAAAATAATTACTTGTTTCGGCAATTATCCCTGAGTTGAAATCGTAAATAGAATGATTATTTGAGGAACATATCACATCATCTCTTTGATCATAATTATTTTGTAATGTTTGTGTTGAACAACCAGGTGAGTTCAAATTATTATTTCTATGCTGTTCAAGTAGCTGTTCCGATGTTGTTTTTTTGTTTTTTTCTTTTTTTTTGTCAAGCCCGACTGGTTTAACTTGATTTTCTACTTTTTTGGAAGTTGGTCTTATTAATTTGTCTTGATTTCCTTCTTTTTTCCGAGTTAATTGTTCATTTCTTTCATATCTTTTCTTCATTTCAACATCGTTCTCACTGTCAGTAGAAAAATTAGATTCATTATCAGATGATTGACTTGATGCCTCATCTGATTCTTCAGAATTAGAATTTCTGAATACTGTTGTCATTTCTTCTAATATTTTATTTTTAGCCTTTTCCTTATTCGTTGGCTTATCAGAATCTGTAGTACAATACTTTTTAGGCTTTCTTATTGTACGTCTTTGTCGATTACATTTTGAACCTTTGTCAGACATTTTTTATAACGCTGCGGATCAATACGCAAATATATATATATATATATATATATATATATATATTATATACATATAGTTTTTTTAATTTTTTAGTGGAAATAAATTTAATATAAAGTTGTGGGGATAAGAAAATAAACTATATATTGAAGGATTTACATTGACAGATTTTAAATCTATATGCAAATATGATAAAATATTTGCGATCATAAACGTGCGAATAAAACTAATTAATATAATGTAACAAAGTAGAAACAATATATTCATCAATATTTTTTTCTGATTTCTGAGTTGAAGAGAATGACCCTGACCAACTTGGCATACTATAGCACTTCGCAGTTATATAATTTATGCTGATTAATTGTAAGTCTTCTGATAACTCTTTGCATTTATAAACTCCGACAGTTGAAGATTGAATTGGCAATTCGTAAAAATTTGTAACATTTTTAAAAGTTTGTACTACAAAAAAAACATCTTCATTTATAGTCAAAATATTTTTAATTTTACAAATAAATTTATCCCGAATCTTGCAAAAACTGTTGCAATCATCTATTGTAAAATTAAATTTATTTGACTGATAATTTTTGTATTGTATAAAATTGGTATTAGCAATACATTCAGGAATAACACCATTTGTGTGTATTACTGAAAGGCGATGATTCTCAGGATGACGTTCAGGTATATGTTGTATATAATTTTTTTCTCGTAATCGATTTGCGAATTGCTGAAGTGGACGTGGATGATTTCTAATATTTTTTTTAAAAAACGGCATATTATTTTCATAAACAAATGCTGAACAATTTTCTAAATGTCCTAATTCCTTTACATCATCAACTAAATGTTGCAATCCATGAACATTGTAACTTACAAAGCTCGCTGTATAAAGATATTCTGCATGTTTAACAAACATTTGTAGACATTTCTCAGCCGTTTCTAATTGCCTTTTCGAACATTTAATTGATGTGACTATTCTCATGGCTACATTAAGTAATAGCAAGTGGAAATAAAATTCTTCACTAAAATTCCGAACGAATTAATTGGTGCTGCATATAAAAGAAAATGTCTTAATTCAGTTGCTTTGAATTTAGAGAATTTCGCGAGAGATCTAGGACGACGTGCAAATTCGTTTGGGCACAACTTGTTTAACTCTACATATCGTGAAGACAATTCATTAAGCGCTGAGCTACGTAGTTTCCCTCCAAATTTGCCATCATACCACGCACTTAATAGTCTCACAGTAACACCAAGGTATACCAGATGCATAATTTCAAAAGGCACTCCTGACGATTGGTATTCCAAGATCTTCTAATGGACTTCTTCCTTTTTGATGATCCTTGTCCACACAAGATATATATTGTTCATTTGTTCGTTTTTCATGATTGATGCCCAAGTAAACCATTTGATTCTCATGTCGGACGCCATTAACTTTACATTTAGAACACGGATTATACGAATTGTGTCCATAATGATTTAAAACTAAAGCTCTCGCTGGAGCGTCGGCAACAAAATTTTTAAACACTATAGGAATATGACGATTCCGTATTAGTATTCCTCCTAGTCCATTATTAATTTCTTTTACCTCATCAATAAAATTGTTAAAAAAGCTATATACATTGCAAGGTTTTTCAAGTCCTTTATATACACCTATAATCACCGGCTTGAAATAAGGAATATTAATGATCCTATATTGTAAAGGCCAATATTGCATAGGGTTGCTTTTACTCAATGACAAACCGTCAGTGTTAAGTTCTATTTCTAGAACAGGCGGAATTTCATCTGCAACGTAAAACAAAAGGTGCTTTTCTAATGTTTTTACAAAACCAATATGCCAATATACACCTGAGCCAATCGGTACTAAGTTAATGCGATCACGACTTGTTTTTAAAAGAGTTCTGCTATCTTGTGGTAAATTCCGAAAACATTTATGCATACAAAGTACTCTTAAAATTGCTTTACTCTGAACATGATTTATATTGTTTTCCAGGCAGCATTGTCGTAAAAGCTTTTGAAAGTTTTCTAAACAATCAATTTCGATATGAGGTTGTGAATCTTCGTGTACTATTTCTTTTACTACATTATCATGAGCATTTGACGTTTCTGATAAAAAGTCTAAAGACGTTTCTTCAAAGTAAGTGGTAGAAGGTAATTCCTTTTCAGTTTCATTACTTTCCAAATTTCTACAAGTCACATAAGAACGATTTTCTTCAAATAAATAAGTTAAGGAATTATTACTTCTATTTTGATCTTGTAAGTGTGTTCTGTCTACAGAAAGATGAAATTCTTTACGAGTGCGTAAACGATTATATTGTTGACAACTTGATAAATTCTGAAAAGATTTGCGATTCGTCCAATTCATGATGTTTCCTTTGATATCAATTAAGACTTTCCAATTTAATCACTCAGGTGCACCACTGTCAAAAAAATTAAGACTGAGTGAGAAATGTAATAAGGCAAAGTCCAATCATATTGAAATCTTAAAAATTCGAATAAGAAAAGCTACAATTTTATTAAACAATGTATAGATAAATTAACAATAAATGAAAAATCTTAATATTTTATAGTTTTTCAAAATTACAAAAAAACATCTTTATTAATAACTTAAAAGGATGTTGAAGTCAAGTGGTCACATTTGAGCTTTCAAATTGAATATTTACAGTTTACAAAATATAATTGCATGTAAAACAAAATACGTATTAACATTATATATATATTGATATATATTATATTGATTGTGATAGTGTAAACACCTCCAACTTCAATTTTGTGAAATAAATGCAAATTTTCTTTTATATTACGCAAGAGTTACCAAAAACAACTTATAAAAAGTATGCCAACGCAATTGTAAAAGTTACATAATAATAAAAATATTTATTAATAATATTTGTATAAAAATCTATCATTGCATATGTTGTGCCTCCGGGAAGGCACGGAAAATTTTGGGGTCTCAGTCGACTGAAGGATGAAGATCCTAGGATCGGCGGGCGTCTCCACTTTGATTAACTTTGCTTGTGTATTTGAATAAATCTTTTATTTCGCTTATTTCTTGAGTTGGATTAATTCTGTATAATCCCACCTGGGTGGTTAGTTAAGTATGCTCGCTCTCGATAGTCAGATTACAGGTGATAGTTATATTCTGCGGCTTGTCTTCGACTCCTAGTTAGGTTCTAATTAGCGACTTGACCTTTTGGATTTTCGTTTAGCGACTGACTTCGTCGCCTCGCTTTCCGTTCGCGGTGGTCTCCTGCCCTTTTCTACATCTTTCGGGGGAAGATGTAGAGAAGCTCTTTCATTGGCTAATTTTTATTCACACGCTTTTTATCTAGGTGCAAGCGAAGCAGGTTGATTCTTCGCTTGCGGTCCGCGGGTTTCGGCGTAACGCTTATATTTCATCGCGTTTGCGTCTTTTCGCGATAAGCGCTTCGCGAGAGCGTGAGAACGTTTCTCAAATGATTGTATAATAGCTGACTTACTAATTTATTATTAAAACTATATTAATATAATATAATATAATATAATATAGTTATAGTCATTCGGACTATAACACATATAGGTTGCTTATTTATCTATGTAATATAAGTAAATATTAATACCACACATTATAGACTTATATCCATATACATACTATTGTGTACCATTATATTACTTATCTAATATAATTGTCTTATATATTTATAACGCCTACAAGAAGCTTTATATCACTAATTGCAGTATTCATTATTAAAAAATTTAACTTATTCATAGATAGATATACATGCATAAATAATTGCATATGAAAATCTGTCAATTATATAATATATATAATTTATATTTCTACGGAATAAATAATTTTCTTTGTAATTAAATAATAATAAGAAATAATACTGTGTATACACACACACACATATATATATATATATATATATATATATATATATACTGGCCTTGCACATCATAGAGAAATAATATTAGAAATAGAAATAAATATTAAGCATTAGGTCTATTGTATAATAAAAAAGTATAGATAATAAGAGCAGAGACAAAATTATTCATGCAGATAGATATTATAGGGGATAACAATATATATATAGATATTCCCTGCTTCTATATTGATAAATTTTTTTCTATTTTTAGTTCAGCTTGTACTTTTGTATTGTGCAATGAGCCTATAATGCTTAATATTTATTCCTAATTCTATAAATGTTTTCTCTATTATGCGCATATGCCTTATTATTATTATAAATACCAATCAATATATGAAGTTATAATAAAATATTGACATTCCAGTATGTATATTCTTGATAAAGATATTTATATAACACTATTTGACACAATTTTACAATGACAATTTAACAACCAATTTGAGAGTTATATGACTTGCATAAAAAAGATTATCAAAAATCCCATATACAGGTTATGTGTGCAACATATATACTACATATAATATACTATTTAATGAAGAGAAATAATACTTACCAATTATGATTTCCAATAAATTCAAATGAATATGACAAAGTATATATATATATATATATATATATATATATATACTGACGATTCCACAATAATATAAATTATTTAACAACACTGTACACTGAACCGTCCCTTCGTGGTTCGTGGCGTATACCTAAGAAGAAACGCCATTTTGGTGTGGCCTAGGGATGTAGCTTATATCTGCTTATATACTTTCAGATTTCAATGACAGAAATACGAAAAGAACGTGCAAGCATCTGTTTGACAGAAAAATAACAGCCAAATGCGCTACAAATATATTTGCAGCAGAGTATAACGAAATTTTTGTCAAAAGCTTTGTCAAATGCTTGCACGTTTCTTTTGCATTCCTGTTATTGGGATCTGTATAGCAAAACGAACAATTTAAACGACATATATTTATGAAATTTTGCTGCCAATATGTTTAAAGAGTCTAATACACTCAACTACCATTTTTCTGACGGGCAGATGCTTACAAATTCTTTTCGCATTTCTGCCGCTCGGATCTGTACTCAAAACTCAGCATTTTAAATGACAAAAACTTTTGTTACTCTGCTGTAAATATGCGTGAAAAGTCTAACGCGCTTTGCTGCTATTTTTCTGTCGGGCAGATACTTTAGAATTATTTTCACATTTCTGCTGCACGTCTACTTTTAATAAATTATATAAAATTTTATACTAGCTTCTTACAGCAGACTGCTGCAATAGTACAGTAAGTACTGTAAGAGAAATAGGAAACAACGCTGAAAAGGACAAGACGTCCTATCACGCGTACACAACGTGTCTCATCCTTAGGAGAAGGGAAGGAGAACAAGGATTTAGCATGGGCGAGCACGAAATTCGGGGCAGTTGCCGATAGCAAGCGATTCTGAGCGTTGTCGAGTAATATATATGAACGGAGCGATCGAGACATAGAAATATATCGGACTTAGATTTGTTCACGCTGATATACGGCAAGGCCTATATACACGCGTCGCGGATAAGCTGTAATTAATATCTCTTAATTTACATTATATAATAAACCTATTATTATTTGCACAAATAGTCAAACATTAAAACAATCCTGTTTTCACCTTTCCACCGTCTTCCACGTTGCGCCGCTGGGCATCACATCCATATATATATTTTAAAAATATCTTACAGATTAAAATCAGAAGTGGGATAACGGGCGGCGAATTAATTTGATCGGTGAGATCGATTGTGAGTGGTGTGTCGATCACAGTTTAAGTCGTGTGAAAACATCAGAAGATTACTCCGAAATGGATCGCGCTAAGCTGGAGCAACTGACATTGAAGGAACTCAAGACAGAAGCGGGCAGATATCGTCTCCCTGTTTGTGAGTCGCGCGAGGAGCTAATAAATGTAATTCTGCAGCATGTCGAGTTGCATGGTACGAGCGATCTGACTCAGAGTACCGACGGATCGCACAAAAGTCGCAGAGGAAGCGAATGTTCCGATGTCAGCGACGGCAATGGTACAGCTTTTTGCGGAATTCGCGAATCACATGCGATCGCAGCAGAAGCAGCTTATGGAGCAGCAGTCACGCGCGCAGGAACAGATGATGGCGCAGCAGAAACAATTTTTGCAGCAGCTTTCTCCACTGATAGCCAACGGAAGCAGCGGAGCAGCCACAGGGTCACAAGGGTCATCTTCAGGAGGAGGATCAGCTGATGGACAACGGATGCAGGATGTACAGCAAGGAACGGCGAGACAAACCGCAATGAGTGGTTTGACGCCGGGGAACGCGGTCACATTGCTGTCCACACAGGTCCCGGAATTCGCAGGCACGGAAGAAGAAAATGTGCGACTGTGGATTCAGAGGATTGACAAGGTGGCGCGGGTGCACGGTGTAGGCGAGGAGATTACGCTGTTGGCAGCCTCCACCAAGCTGGTAAAAGGGGCGAAAAAATGGTATGAGACCCGCATGGGCGAAGAGTTGGAGTCCTGGGCAGACATGAAAGATGCCTTGATCAGGATGTTCGACCGGAAGGTCCCGTATTACACGATAATGCAGAGGATCGAAGCGAGAAAGTGGAACTTCACCAAAGAATCGTTCCATCAATATGCTATCGACAAGTTAGCATTGATGTATACGCTAGACTTGTCCGAGAGCGATAAAATCAATCTGCTGATCGGGGGAATCGGCAAGAGTTCGTTGCGAGCGACAGCATCAACGATCTTGGCGCCGACGGTAGACCAGTTCTTGGACAGGATGAACATGGTCACGGCAGCGTCCAACGATTGGGAGAGGAAAAGTAAGGTTTCCGCAAAACCGGAGAAAATCAAGCCAACCACGGTGACGTGCAAGGGGTGCGGTAAAATAGGCCACACGCAGCAGAAGTGCAGAATTGGGCAGATGACCTGTTTCTTCTGCAAAGAAAAAGGACATCGTTAAGCGAATTGTCCCAGGAAGAAGAAGAGCAGCGAGACGGCAACCACGGCACCCAAGCCGGCTAAGGCAGTATCGTCGGTCGAGATGACGGAGACAGAGGAGCACACGACCCGGAGGAACGCGTCCGAGGAGAAAACGGTAGGAGCGGTCGCACTGATTCCTCGAATTCTAGAGATAAGTACCGACACAGTTATTTTGAACGAGATTAACGGTAATAATTGTAGATTAACAGTGTTAGTAGATACCGGTAGCCCAATTTCATTTATTCAGCCTAGATTGTTTGAAGAATAAAGTGATAAATATAAGGCCAACTTATCGAGCTGAATATTCGAGATGTTCAGTCAACTACCATTTATTACATGTATAAATTATAAAACTACAGTCATTATATTAAAACTAACGCAAACTAACGCTTTTGAGAGTTTAAAATGAGCTGTCTTTCTGTATTGTTGGTTTGTTATGTGTCATCCTTAATAACTGTTAATAAGTAGCAAAATTGTCAAGAAGAACGATGATAGCGCCTACGGAACGGGTTAATTTCTCGCATATTAACGATGAAACTATCCGAGATCTGAACAAAATCAGGGATCATATCGAGGCGAACATTGTTGGACAGGACGGATTGAAACACGCGTTAATTGCTCAAAAACTCTTGATTCTGAATAACTATAATTAAATTTCGATATTATGTGAATTGTAAGAATTTATATTTCAATAATTATACTGAAGAAGACCGCGTGCGGTCGAAACGTTTATAGAATGATTGTAATTTGCGTTAGTTTTAATATAATGACTGTAGTTTTATAATTTATACATGTAATAAATGGTAGTTGACTGAACATCTCGAATATTCAGCTCGATAAGTTGGCCTTATATTTATCACTTTGTTTTCAATATACGAGCGACAATTGTATTAATTTATGTTTGAAGAATATTTTCATATAGAGGAAGAAAATAAATTCGCGTCGATATATCGATATACAGGGTTAAATAATTTACCGATTAAAATACGAGGCGCGGTAAATACTCATGTTAAATTAGAATTATTGCCAGATATTACGTGCATGATCAAATTGCACATATTAGAAACCGCTGGTTCGACCAGAGACATTGTACTAGATCAGGATTTTCTAGACGATAACGAAATAACGTTAGTCTATCGGCCTCAACGGAAGGCGCGTAAAAACGATTTAGAATTCGGGCTAGAATCTTTCCCGATGGCTTTATTACGAATCGAAACTTGCGCACTCACGGATGATAGGAGTGTCGTGCCGAGAGAATTTCTCACAGATTTCGGTCAAGAAGTAGAGGAAAAATTACGAGAAATAATTGAAAAAGTAAGAAACACGAGCGTTCGATTAATCGATGACGATTACACAGTGAAAGTAAATTTAAAAGATACATTCGAATACGCGTACGCACCTAGACGATTTGCACACGTGGAAAAAATTCAAATACGCGAAATTATAGACGATTTGTTAAAGCGTGATATAATTACGAGCAGTACGTCGCCGTATTGCGCGAGAATTGTGCCAGTAAGGAAAAAAAACGGCTCAATGCGACTGTGCGTCGATCTTCGGCCGTTAAATAGTCGAATTGTAAAACAAAAGTTTCCATTTCCGATAATAGAGGATTGCCTATCGAGACTCGGAGAAAAGCGTGTATTCACTCTGTTAGATTTAAAAGATGGGTTTCACCAGATAAAAGTTCAGGAGGACTGTCGAAAGTATTTCTCATTTGCTACTCCGGACGGGCAGTATGAATATAAAAGACTTCCATTCGGGTATAGCGAATCACCCGCCGAATTTCAGAAACGGTTAATTAATATTTTTCAGCCGTTAATTCGCGAAGATAAACTTATAATATATATTGACGATATAATCATTCCGTCGGACACGGTAGAAAAGAATTTGGAAATTCTCGAAGAAGTCCTATTTACACTCAAATGGTACGGTTTCGAGCTCAATTATAAAAAAAGTAAATTCCTGCAGAGAAGCGTAGAGTATCTTGGATATGTGGTATCGGGCGAGGGAATTACGCTTAGCGACCGGCATACCGAGGCGGTCCGTAATTTCCCGGAACCGCGTAACGCGCACGAGGTACAAAGATTTCCCGGGCTAACTAATTATTTTAGAAAATTTATAAAAAATTATGCGTCAATCGCGAAACCGTTATATAACCAATTAAAGAAAACGACTAAATTCAATTTCGACAAAGAATGTGTAACGGCGGTTAATACACTGAAAAAAATATTAACATCCTATCCTGTCTTGCGACTTTATAATCCAGCCGCAGAGACGGAATTACATACGGATGCGAGCGCACAAGGATTAGCAGCTATTTTGCTACAAAAACAAGAGAAAGGAGTTTGGGTTTCCCGTAGCGTATTTTAGTCAGCTAACTAATCAAGCCGAAGCGAAATATCACTCATTTGAATTAGAAATGTTAGCGATAGTTCGAGCAATTGAACGTTACCATGTATATTTATACGGTATAATTTTTACCGTAGTTACCGACTGTAACGCGCTGGTATATGCGGTAAACAAGGCACACATTAATCCGCGGATAGCGAGATGGACTTTAGCGCTTCAAAATTATCATTTTAAAGTAGAGCATAGACCTGGGCGTCG